CAACACCCACACCCACCCTTATTTCAACATTTTAAATAAATTCATTCATGAATATTTGTATCAAAAGACGAAGATTATCGATTCCAATTTTTTATTATCTCTAATATTAATTGTTAACTTTAATAAAATTTAATCAAAATATTGAAAATATTCTCTACTCAAGTTTATTTCAACGAAAAATATTATTTAACTTTGGAAGTAAAGAATTCTGGTAGAAAAGTAAAATTTTGATTGATGATTCGAAAATGAAATTTATCATTTCTCCAATTTAGATTATAACGATGGTTTTCTAACATCATAAGATACTTCATGAACTCATTATCAACTTCTATCAATACTACAAATAATCAGTATTAATTAACTTCCCTGAAACTAATAGATTAAATTTGATGAGCATTTATTTCCATTGTGTAAGATGATCTCTTCAAAATAAATAAATTTTAATTGGTTCAATTTATATAAGTCTGTTCATATAAAACTTTTGCATCAACGCATGTCAAACCATACTTGGACTGACATGAGTAAAAATTGGAATAAATTCTTATTGATCCTAATGATTAATGGATAAACTACATACACTTTTCAATATAGCGTGTGAATGTAGCTTATCTTGACTACAAAGGGTTCTGTTTAAATTCAATAGATTGGTGAAATATTTACTAAGTTTCGAAAAAGTTGTACAACTTAAACGTTTTCCTAACAACAATCTCATAACTCTATCATTTTTAATGAAGAAGTCATCTTCGTTTGAGATTCATGAATAGAACTATCGCTTCTAGCGTACTGTAAAATCATCTCATACATCGAAAAGAATTCTATTCATTCATAAGATAATTCTTATTTGCAATATGTACTTTTACATTAGAGCTCTTTTTTGGTATCTTATTCTATTTATAAGAATTCAGATCAGGATAATTGCAGACTATTCTAAAAAAAACAGAATAGAAATGAACATATCTATTGTAATATTAATCTTTACATATTCAGTTAACAAGCTGAGCAGCTTACACAGTTGAATTTTATCATCTTCTTACATAAAGCTACAAACTTCCAACTATGTTAAATTTCGATTGAATTGTTATCATTTTCACATAGTTTACAAAGTCCCACAATGTTTGTTTGTTAAATTTCATCAATTCGATTTAAAAAAAAAGAATAGTTTCGTCCTGTTTCTCAGTAACATTAGTTAATCGTACAAGATTCAAAGATTAAAACACTTATTAGGACAGACTGAATGCTTCTTGTCAGACCTTAACAGATCATACAAGATCTAAAACAAAGAAACATACACGGTACATAATGTAGATCTTGCCTGTTATTATCTGTTCGTGTATGGTGTGTTCTGTTCTTTCACTTGTTTGAGAATAGTTGACTCCATCAGCTTTTCTATGAAGAGTAGCACCTGAAAAACAGGATCAAGCAGTGTACCTAATTTTTTTTAATTCTTTTTCTATACTAATAGTATACAAAACGGTTACTTCTATTTCTTATTTTTCTGTGGTGACAATATAGTACATTCTATTTATTTTTTATTTTTATATATTGATGATATAGAAACAGTTATTTTTGTCTTATTTGTCCATAGTAATAATATAGAAAATGCTGATTTTCGTTTGTTATTTTTTTACATTCGTGATATGGAGAATCTTATTTTTCTACATTGGTAATACAGGTAACAGTTTGTTTTATTCTCTATTTTTTGTAAATTGTTGACATGGAAAATTGTATTTTTTATTTTTCTATTATTATCAATATAGAAAAATAAGAATTAAAAATAAGATTTTCTATATTATTAATATAAAAAAATGAGAAATAAAAATAGATTTTTCTATATTATTAATATAGAACAATAAAAAATGACAATTAAGATTTTCTCTATTATTGTTATAGAAAAATCAAAAATTAAAATTGAGATTTTCTATATTATCAATCTAAAAAATGAAAAAAAAATAAATAAGATTTTCTAAACTACCAATTTAGAAAAACAAGAAATGAAAATTTAAATTCGTATATTATTGATATAGAAAAATAAGAAATAAAACCAACTGTTATCTATATTACCAACATAGAAAAATTAAAATTAAAACTAATTGTTATTTATATTATCAATATAGAAAATAAGAATTAACAAATATAACTTTCTACATTATTAATATAGAAAAATGAGAGGTAAAAATGAGATTCTCTATATTGCCAAATAGAAAAACAAGAAATAAAAATGGAAATTTCCATACTACAGTATAGAAAAATGAAAAATGATGAATTGGATTTTATATAATATCAAATATACAACAAATGTTGACTGTACTTGTTCTAAAATAAGACTGATGGTTATGTGCAAAAAAACGAAGCAAAGTAGCCGATCAGACTGATCATTTCCATGTGTATAAGAAATATTTGAGAAGTTTGATTTAATTGAAATAAATCTATAGTGTTAATAAGCATCTCATATAGGTCTATGTCATTATCTATAAGTAGAACACAAAATTGCCTACTAGAATTTTATGTCTCACAATCTCTTTGATTTAAAAAGCAGAAAGTGTTGTTTTGATTCTCACTCTCCTCTTCGAGTTGTTTGACACATAATCATAGTTTTCATACCGCTTTACACGTATTTTTTTGTCGATGGAAGAAAAGAAATAATACTAAAATGTACTTTCTTTCAATTGCACTGAGACATTAAACATATTAAAAATACATGACATTACATGTAAGAAAAATGAAAATTGATTAAATAGTATTAAATTTAATCAAGATCTCGATTATTGCTAGATTCTTCATAGATAAATTAAAAGCGATGAAATTATTTTTAGAGAGTTTATAAAACTGCATGGCATTTTTTATTAACTTCATCGATTCTGTAACTGTCCATTCAAGATATAATCATAGAAGTATTGTTTCTAGTCTAAAGCTCAAGTCAGTATCAATATAAATCTTTAGAAAATTCTAGACCAACAAAAATAACTTTCTTCTAGAATTTAACCAGTGCAGAATGCGATACAATAAAAATTTGAAGAAGAAATCTTCACACTTATTACTATTGAGAATAGCTAAAATCGTGATAAAATCTTTATGATCGTTGCTTTTTTGTGAGAATCCCCAAAAATTTATACCTATTGAATAATCTACAAAACACAAACTTGCAAAGATTTTAGATCAAGGTTTCGATAGGAGATTCGTATTGTCTTGTAAAGAAGCGAAAATACTTAATTGTAGAAAGTTCGAAATCGATCCGTGATCGAAACTGATATTGTTTAAAAAACCGTGTCCCATACACCCATACCCTATTAAGTTGAAAATTTGTAATACATTAGAAATGAATTCAAAATAAAAGATTTGATTGATTCGTATATAGATCATTGTTTGTGCTATAATGTAGAGTAATGAACATGACAGATTCTTCAAATATTCTTGAACTTGGGAAAGATTTGTTTTTGAGTTCTTCTTATCCACTAAAATTCGAACTTACGTATTATTTTATCTAAACTTATCTTATTTAGCACTTCGATTAGCCTTTCTACAAACTACTTGTTTGTTTGAGATTCAGGAATAAATTACTCAATAATAAGTATGATGCAAAATTGATAGCATAAAATACTTTCGAATGGTGTATGATTTATATTTGTCACACATTCGTAAATGGAATAAGAAAGAAAAATACTTGCACAAAAAATTTGCCATTTTTTATATGAATCAATCAAAAACGTCTTATGCATGGTAGTTAAATATAATTAACTATCGTTATTATCTAGCAAGATGTTTTTAACGAATCCATATAAAAGTTGCAAATTTATTTTGTCTCATTTCACTCAGAAATGCGTGACGAACATAAATCATACACCGTTTCCTATCAACTGATAACAAATTTTTTTTTCTTGGGTTCAAATTTTATTATAACTCATTTTATTGTAAAATCCAAACAAAAAAATGAAATGATTTTTACAATGATGACATGCTAAATCTAAATATATTTCAGAGTCGAACTAAGGAAATCAGTAAATATGTTGGAAAAATTCGATGTAAAAGAAAATTTCAGTCACGATAAAATTCGAGTTAATCGCAATTTTTCACATTACCAGTTAAATTTTAGTTAGTTTTAGTCAAACTAACGATTCTTACACAAAATATTTGAAAAAATCAACAATGTTTTGTTTTCAACATTGAGAAAAACCAGATTCTAATCAAGTTGATAAGTAAAAAACTTTTGTAATTGAGAGCAGTTCAATACTGTTTAAAACAAATGAGAATGATTCATTTCAATGAAATCAATGTTTATTTCTACTTCATACTTTTGTTTCATTTCAGTCCCACTACGTGCAAGTTCTATTGATATTCATCCGAATGCAAAATGGTCACAGAATGGTATCACTGTTGCTGGAGGAAATGGATCGGGCAGTGAAACCAATCAACTCTCTCTTCCATGGGGTTTGTACGTCCATGAGGATCAAACGATTTATATCGCTGATTATGGTAATCACCGTATTGTGGAATGGAAATCTGGTGCAACGAATGGAAAAGTAGTTGCTGGTGGAAATGGAGCGGAAAATGGAGCTCATCAATTAAATAGCCCATTTGATGTGATTATCGACAAAGAGAAAGATAGTCTCATCATCAGCGATAGAAGGAATAACAGAGTAGTTCGATGGCCTCGTCGAAATGGTACTAGTGGAGAAACAATTATTTCAAATATCGCTTGCATCGGTTTGACAATGGATGACAATGGTTATCTCTATGTCGTTGACTATGAAAAACATGCAGTGAAACGATATAAAATTGGTGATACTCAAGGAACAGTGGTTGCAGGTGGCAATGGGCAAGGGAATCGTCTCGATCAACTCTTTTACCCCTACTACGTTTTTGTCGATCGAGAACATTCAATATATGTGACTGATTGGGGAAATAATCGTGTCATGAAATGGGAAGAAGGTGCAAAACAAGGCATTGTCGTAGCCGGTGGTCAAGGAGAAGGAAATCGTCTTACACAATTGAATGAACCTGAAGGAGTCGTTGTCGATCAATTGGGTACTGTCTATGTGGTTGACCGAGGGAATCATCGAATCATGCGTTGGCCAAAAGGTGCCACACAAGGAAGTGTCATTGTTGGTGGAAACGGTCGAGGAGCACAGTCGAATCAACTCGCTATTCCCATAGGTTTATCATTCGATCGACATGGTAATCTCTATGTCGTCGATCACTACAATGATCGAGTACAAAAATTTGAAATCGCATAAACTAAATACGATGATTAATTTTTTTTTCTTTCGTTCTTTTTTTATTCTCTTTCAAATAAATTATGATTGAATGAAAAAATGCATCCAAATTTATTCTATTCTCACACGCGCGCGCGACCAGGAACCACCCTGATGGAGCCATGGCGAGCGTAATGCTCATACACGCGCGGAAAGACCCACATCATCCATATGCACCCATCCGATGTCATATGTCAGTGAGTCTGAGGGCCCGATCGTGTTGCCATGGACACCAAAGCAGTTCCTGGCCGGGCTTTTAGGGGCTACCCGAAAGTCCTTCTTATAAGACGAATCTAACCACAACGTACCCCCTCTCCCTCTAACACTCACTTAACTCAGTCTCATCTCAAAAAAAAGAAAAAAACTCACCAGTCGATGTTGAATGATAATGTCTCTAAAAGGAAAAGAAAAAAAAATATTAAATAATAAAAAGAAAAATTACTTACCCTCTATTATCTTTTTCTTCATTGATTAACGGCTAAAATTTAAAGAAAATACATAAAAAAGATCATAAGAGGACTTACTACTCTCCATATCATCGTAAAAAGAAGAAAAAAAATAAAATCTAATAGCTACATTTTTTTATTGTCCTGCTTTGAATTGTATTGTTTAATTTTGTATCGTCGAAATCATTCTAAAATATAAAAAGAAAAGATTAATATATGATTCAATAAATTGAATGATTTTACATAGAAAATCATTCATATTTATATGTTAAAAATCGATAATTTTCTTTTTTTTTTTTACTCGTCAGAGAGTGATAAAAAGATGATAATAATTAAGCTATCATCTACATACACATACATTGAGATAAAGTCAATCACAAATATCTCAATGTACGTGTATGGATAATGTTTAATTGATATACACAATCATTATGTCATATTATCATTGATCGTCAATGACAACATGAAGCATAACTTACGGACGAGAGAAGAAAAGAAAAAAACGATTTTGTTGATCTATATTCTTTTTTTCATTCTTTTCTCTCCTGTATGTTCATTTGTGAGCAAACGAAGCCGACGAATACATACAACACTTGAGTATGTTTAGGCAACGTCACATGTTCTCCTTATGCAATTATGAAGGTAAAGGACGAGGATGGATATGCTAGCAAAATCGGCCCTATTTGAAATGTGCACCCCTTTTCTCTATTATTCAAATAGACACCAGTGCCATTTTTTGTGCAAAGATAGTTCTTGGTATACCCAAAAAAGTTGCAAAGACACAAGGGTTTGAAATGCTTGGGCAATACCTTTTCATAAAGCCACAACGTATTGAGTATAGAAATACCATTGTGGTTTTATGAAAAAGTATTGCCCAAGCATTTCAAACCCTTGTGTTTTTGCAACTTTTTAGAGCATGCTAACAGCTATCTATGCGCAAAAAATAGCGCCGGTGTCTATTCGAATAATAGGGTGTGGGTGTGGGTGTGATCGAAGATATTCCCACACCCACACCCACACCCACACCCACACCCACACCCACACCC